TTCAAATCGTGTGTGATATACAATAAAAGTAGACCATATGAGAAATATTGTTACCATCAGTGAAGCGAAATCATCTAATATTGCTTTGTTTTGCGTTACAGGGAAATGATAATAAATCATATCTCATATCTTCCTATTTCAATGGACCAAGAGGTATATTGGATGCACCTCGATCAGATCCGGCAACAGAAGATAGATTTGCAAGCAACTATACGGCAGAATCATTGGTGAGACTCAGTACTTCAACACACAGTGCTGAGGATGTACCGATTTATGCTAATGGACCTTACAGTGAACTATTTCATTCTTCATTGGACAATACATTTATTGCGCATGCAACCATGTACTCGCTTTGTATCGGACCATACACGGATCAGTCACATTGTGACGAAGGAAACAATGGATCTCAACTCAGAGGACTTCATCTAAATAACCTTTATTATTTACTATTTCTTAGTGTTATTTTGTACACTTTCATACATTAGTGTATATTTTGCGGTATTTTGTTCAAATGATTAATTTCATGTGTTTCATGTAAGTATATTTGTTATTTGTAATATTTATCAGGTTAGATTATATAAGAATTCATCAAATGATTTGTGGATATACAAACATATATTTCTAAATTAATGAGGTAGCTGTATACAACTAACTAACATTAATTTAGTATTTTATTTTCACATTGATGAAACAATTATACAAGTTGAAGTTTGAAATTTAATGTCGCTTTTTGAAATGTTGGCTAAATGCTTATTTACTTACTTACTTGCTTACACCTGTTACGCCTCATGGAGTAACATTGTATGCCCAACAGCATTCTCCATCAAACTCTGTCCTGGACAATACTTTCTAGTTGTTTCCAGTTTCTAATTATTCATTTCTTGTCTGGTTCCTATTCCCGACACTGTATGTACTTTGCAATTCCTCTTTTCTGTTTTTCCTCAGTATTCCAGGTTACCATATACCTCATGATGTAGTTTGATGATTTACTCAATGTTTGTCCCTAATTTCCTCTTGAGTTGGAAGTTGGGTTATTCTCTCCCATAGTAGGATATTGCTGATTGAATCCGGCCAGCTGATATCTAGTATCTAATGTAGACAATCATTTATTAATATTTTTATAGTACAAATTTCTCCACGTGTAGATTGATAATTCTGAGTTTAATATTGGTTGAAGGAATGTGGTTTTGAGTTTCAACTATAGGAATGCTGTCCTTGCTTTTCCAATCCTTGCCATTATCTCTACATCACATCCTCCTTCTTCATCGATGATGCTGACTAGGCACGTGGAAATTTCCACCTCTTCCAGAGCTTATCGATCAAGAGTGATTGGTTCGGTATTCTCCATGTTGTATTTTAGGATCTTGGGTTTTCCCTTGTGTAGGTCGAAGCCTACTGTGGCATAGAGAGGCTGTTGTTACACTGGTTGTCTTCACCTGCATTTTCTAATGTGTATGGTATGGAGAGTTCAAGTCATTTGTGAAGTGCAAACTGTCCAATTACATGCAAGCTGTCCGTAGTATTCCGTGTTTCCCGTCAGATGTGGACGTCTTTATAATCCAGTCAAACACTAGAAGAAGGAAGAAGGAGAAGAGTAAGCAGCCTTGTCTGACTCCAATCCTCACTTGGAATGCATCTGTCATCTGTCCTCCATGCACGACCTTGCAGTGTAATCCATCGTATGAATTCCAGATGATGTTGACGATCTTATCAGGTTATGAGTGTTTATAATATCTCAGTCATATTGTTAATGAACACATTTGGAGAATCATATTAATTACATGTCGCCTTCTCATCATTTCATTATGTGAAACAATGTGTGAACGTACACCAAATAATCTGATTGTTTAGAAATTTATATCGATGTTAGAAATATTTGTGGTCTCTTTGTTCATCGGAAATGAATTCATTACAGAGGGCTAAAGATGATGAGTGGTGATGATGATATTGTATAACAATGAATTAATGAGCTGGTAAATGTATTGATGATTGTAAGTGTTGTAATTTTAATCTTATTCTCTTTAGCCAATAAATTCTGTATGAGTTGATGAGAATTGAATTTTTACGTTTAGAGAAACTTAATCACTGATTTCAATTGAATATATGCCAAGTTGATAATCAAATATAACCAATCCATAGAAAGAGTTTGGTGAAAATAAATTTATTGCGTTTTGAAGTTCAGAACATTCAATTTTCTAAATAAAGATAAAAAATTGTAAGCGTTTAATTCAGTCATATGAATATAAACCAGGTGATTTACCAGCTTTGTAAGTAATGTCACTTAACTTGGTAATGTATATGAAGCGGATAACAAGTATGCAAGATTTGACAGTACTACTGTCTGAATATTTTTTTGTTAAAAATGATCCCAAAGCCAATAAATACAGAAGTTAATGATGATGATGATGATGATGATGATGATGATGATGATGAGGATGAGGATGAGGAGGAGGAGGAGGATAATTTAACTGAATTATGTTGTGCCATATTCTAATCATAAAATACATGTGTGTTTTAGAATAGCAAATGTTATAAATACTATCAAGTTGAATATACCAAATCTGTATGTTATTTTAATGTACTCTTTCTACCTGTTGCTATTAGCTTTGTAATTTTTAGCTTAGTAAGACGTTTCATCTTAGTGTTCATAAGCCATTTTTATCAACCATTTTGGGAGGTTCTTTCTTACTCAAAAATAATAATATACATCAACTGGGTCATTTCATGGCTTTATTGTTTTAATAAGCAGCATAGAATCTATCATTTTACTTAAAAACCTAGTCTTTAGATTCTGATATTGCAATACGAACCAGTGAGGTCATTATGTTGAGGAGTTTGTGTCCAAAGATGTTTTGAAATTTTAGTTAGAGATAAGTTTAATATTCATCCCTTGTGAGTTTCTATGAGTCGAACTAGACAATTTATCCTCGGGTTGAAAAAATTTAATAACACTCCTGGTTGACTATTAAAGTTGGTTCTGACAGACCACATAAGAGACCCAAAACTTAAGAAATAATCAATCAGATTTAAGGTAGTGACTCTTGATTTGGCACACAATTCATTCATTTATATGGCTACAAGAATTTCGATATTAGAGCCGATATTTGTTCGTGATGAAAACCCTGACTCTTCTTTTTAACTCTGATGCATAAAACTAAATACTAGTCCAAATTTACCGCGCTAATTTAGGATTCTATTTTGGTTGTTACTGAAAGGCACTTAGGTATAGCCCAAATATCGTCCACAAGTTATTGTCTGAATAATGCATTTTGTCGTAGAATCAAATGTGTTAGTGGTCAATCAATCTTCTGACAACGAAATGAATTTTATATTAGTTTATTTCAGTTGTTGTTGTTGTCATTGTTGATATTTCATTTAAATCTATGGACGATAAGAGTTATTTGAAATTGTTTATTTTCTGTTGTCTCTAATCTAACCACCTTTTGTTATACAGATTATCTTGTTTGTCACTTATAATTGTTTTATTAATTGCCGATCAACAACTTTTCTTGTAAACTGTTTGTTTACCATGGAAAGAGGATCAGCGTCGTCAAATCAGCAGTCAAATCAGAGATTAATTATGCAACTTTCTCGAACATTTCAACTCTCCTTCAACTTATGTTCCATCCTTAGGTAGCTCACAAGCGGAAACAGAACACATCATTGACTTCTCTATGTGAGGAATTTCACTCTATCGGTTTGGTATAAATTATCTTGTTAATTCATGTCAAAGTCGTTCCGGAATGAGTGTGACTATGAGGTGTATATCTGAAGATGTTAGACTTCGATATATATTTTTATTTTCATATTTTGTGTTTTATCAATAATATGTATTTAAGCTTGATACTGATATTGGACAATCAGTCATAGACGATTCGGAATTTGGATAATACGATGAGAAGAAGGTTTTTAGGATTATACGGTATGTTTGGGAAGTACATTCCGAATAATCTGGTTAAACATATATTTGTTATGACATTACGTATGAAAAAATAAAAAAACCAACTAGATAAGCCAAAAGGTAAGGGGAAACAAGGATATTAATAAAGTAAGCAATGTGAAAACCACTCTATACAATAAATTAGTACTACCAAGGTAGGTAACGGGTAAGAACAGGCTATTTCTGAAAGCTTTCCAGTTTTCGTGTAGCCAAGACTTCGATAAACCTTATGAAACAGTCTTAAACACATTTGTACAAGACGCATATCAAAAAACGTATCTGTATAAGCAGTACATGGATGACGTTATAGTCACAAGTGGTAAATTTGAAGATGTGGACTATTTGTTAAGGGAAGTCGATATAAGTCAAAAATATATTTGTCTAACATGCGAAGAAGAGATAAATGAATATCATTTAACTTCCAGGGCAGAGTTTAAATGGTTTAAGTTGTTTTCTCAGGTTAGCATATTGTTAGCAAAGTCATTTTCTACGAGATGGGGTTGCTGATCCCATACCCAACCCTCAACGTTTAATAGGGTTTGTGACCGACAGTAACCTTAGAAAAGCTACAGGAGAAGTTATCACTGTAATATGTGAGGATTCAATAGTTGGCCTCATACGTTTTCATGAAATTCTTAGTGGTAACTATACGATTAAATCAACTGCAATTATGACCTTCCATTGCTGCGATATTCCTTAAAATTAAACTTTATTTCCAGTAAAGCTTTGCATCAAAAGCAGTATTTAGGGCATAAAAATATCAATTTACATAGTTCTGATAAGTAGATTAATAAAAAATAATACTGATAAACAAAACTTTAACATAGTGTGTGTGGTACAACATCAATTAAAACAACCCATTAAAACTTAGAATAATGGATACAATCCGAACCATGTGAATGGTTGAAGTCTACAATTGACACATATTTGTTAGATAATCCAAAAATAAGCCAATGAGAAATCAGTACATGACAAAATGTTAAAACGTTTTCGTTTGTGAAACAGTATTTAAATGAACCAAATCAAACGACAAAAGTTGTAGACCTCGTAAGACAAAAATATGCTTCCTACTGTCTTATCGACAGTTCCAAAATCCTTACTGTTTTTCATAGCAGTCATACTATCACAGTATAAAATTCAGTGTAAATCGTCATTATTGAATGTAGAAGATCCTGAAACTTGGAAGAAATTAGCAGGAGAGAGATTTAATAAATTTGAACAATCGTTAACTTACTTATTACTTAAACGACCAAAAAATGTCATCTTATTTATTGGTGATGGTATGAGCTTGAACACTGTTACTGGAGCAAGATATTTGAAAGCGGAGAAGATGGATCTTTTAGGTGGTGATGTACAACTAGTGTGGGAGGACTGGCCTGTTGCATCACTTGTCCGTACATTCAACTCAGATAGACTGACAACAGATTCAGGTTCTGCGGCAACTGCTTTTATGTCAGGTAAGTCGTAAGGTGAACTACTAATGTTTTTTTATGAGAAAACTACTGCTTCATTGTCATATTTTGACTAAACATGTCCTGTGTGATAAAAATCGGGAGGTTCCGTTGATCATAGAACAATGTTTATATTTGAAGATAGTGAAGATAAATACACTTGAAATGATTTGTGGCTCACTATTCTGTAGGTAGTCTCGTTTATCAAATTGCTTCTGTAATTCTTCTGCAGAATAGATAAATGTATAATTAGTTTCACTTACAAGTGAGATTAATTTACTTTATGGAAGATGTTATTTTGGTCCACGTAGGTGTGATACAGATCGATTTTGATGTTTCTGATCAGTATTCAATTATCCCATATCTACTAATGAAGTTCTCACTCCATTGAGTACTTATATTGATCAGAATTTCTCATAATTTTATAATCTGGAGAAAGCCAATTGCAGTAGAGATAAAAAATCATCTCCACTTCTTGGTTTATCTTATTATGAGCTTTGTTAGAGTTCATATGTGAGGTTAAGCCATATAGAGCCAATTAGGTAGAAAATTGATTAGTTATCAATTATTAGTAATTATCACACCAAATTGATTGAAATCAGTAACCGAAAACCATTAACTCACATCTGAGTGATTCAATAATGTTACTCTCCATGTGATAAAACAAAAGCTTTGTATTCGATCATGAATTCATGAGCTAAATTAAGACAACTAACCAGTGGATAGTGATAATTCTTCTACAATGTTTCCCGTTTGATATTTGTCAATAATGGAAAATATGCTAGACTAAAACTTTCGAAATACTGAATACTCTAAATAATGTGTTTTATTCGGTCGAAGAATCGAATCAAAGTTCATTTCACACAAAGAACATGTTTTGAAGTGTACACATTAAGACTTCGGAAGGTTAGGTGTCAAATACAGTTTTCATAGTTCACGGACACAAGTCGAAGGAATGTTGATTTAACTTGAGTTGTAAGTATAAGGTGCTAGTCTATGAGTAGATCATTATACAATCAAAGATGAATAGATTTATTATGATGAGATGTATGCAAAATCGCACACTTAACAATTTAGTTTTCTGTCGTTATTTGATGTGTAACTTTTGCTGCATATTCTGCTGATTTTAACTCATTTTGAGGTGTGAAAGGGCCTTATGATACTGTTGGTATCACGGGAACAGTGAAGTGCTGTGAATGTACTGAGTTAAAAGAAATGGAAAGAGCGAAATCTTCTCTCATGTATGCCTCTAAAGCAGGATTTTCCACTGGAATAGTTACAACTACGAGAGTAACTCATGCAACACCCGCAGCAGCATATGCCAATATATTACATCGAGATTGGGAGTCGGTAGGGTAAGTGCAAATTATCTTAGACAATGACTATGTTTATATATAGTTTTATAGTGATAAAGATTTTATTGTAATCAAATCCATTCACAGTTATTATTTTGTGTGATTTGTCTGAGTACTACAAACTAAGAAGCATTAATGTTAGAAAATGGTTTTTCGTAATACACTATGAGTGTAATATCTAAGAATGGTGAGATTAAGTATTCCTTAAAAATTGATAGTGTAGTATCTATGGTAGTATCTATATATCATAAAGTTTATTTGTGTCCAGAAGTGATCTGTTTCATATCACTCAAAACGAATTATAAAGCTGAAGTGAAATTCAATATTCATCCGGAAGCTATCAAACATTTATCCATTAAATTGCTTTATTGTTACCTTATGTCAGACTGCTCTGATCCTAAATAAAATAACCTTCCTATTGATGACTTTCTTATTTGGGCTCCGCACAGTCATGAATAGATAGGTTTGAATCAACCGTTCACCTGTTTCGGCCAATAAAATGATAGTGCCATTATCATTTCTACACAAAAATGCTTGGTTCAAAATAGAGAGCAAGAACTTGGGTTTTATGAATGAGTTTATAATAGGTCCTCTTCGTAAATGTCAAGGGAATCTGTTTTGATTACTTTATCGTCCATGTGATCGACTGCCTCCACCCACGTTACAGATAAATAAATTAAAACACCAATAATTCGTTAATCATCTATAAAAATTGACTTGTTTATTTAGCTGCACACGAAATTCCAAAATGGATTGCAGTATAAATATGCTACGATTGATTACAAAATATTCGGCATAAATAAATCACCCGGTGATAATCACAATAATATACTCAATGTCCACGAAGTGCATTAGTTTACCAACACAGTGCAATATGAGCCTAAAACAAGGTGTCATGAATAAATTGCCAACTTATTCACGAATACGTATAAGAGCATACCCACATTAATTTATCTATTAAGCTTAGTGTTTGGATAAATTTATTTATTTGAACACATAAATATTGATACAAGAGGGCATCAGATATATATGCGCCACACACACAAAGTGGATATAAAGGAGAGTGAATAAGTGACGTAGCAACTAATAATAATAATAATAATAATAATAATAATAATAATAATAATAATAATAATAATAAGAAGAAGAAGAAGAAGAAGAAGAAGAAGAAGAAGAAGAATGCTAATATGACTCGTTTGACTGTTAATCGAAGCAAGAATAATATTTTCCGTAAATTTCGTCATTTCATTCTATTTGTGTGTGGACTGTGATACTGCCAGGGTGCCCAAACCGAAGCAGGTGGTTTCCTTAGCGGGCCACACCCCGAGCCTTCGACCTGAACGTCTGACCCACAAGACAGTGGGGCATCGTGAGAAGATGCAGCCTCATGGTAGCCAGTGACCAACAGCTGGTTCACACGTCATTTGTTCCCTCAGAATACTGGAGCCCATGTGCACCATTGGTTTGGGATCCGCTTGAAGCGCCGGACATTCGTTTTTCGTCCTCTCATTTTCGTAAACAACACCCGCGCCACGAGAAGGCAGTGAGTAGGACTTTCCTGGCAGAGGCTATATACGCATGGCCGTACGAGAGCATTATCATGATCACTGTCATCATCATCATCATCATCATCATCATCATCATCATCATCATCATCATCATCATCATCATCATCATCATCATCATCATCATCATCACCATCATCATCATCATCATCATCACTGTCGCTTATTTCTCCTCTCACTCAGACCATCAAACGAGCATGGATTCCACTGCGTAGACGCTGCTACACAACTACTGACGAACGCTTCTCACGTCAACGTCATAATGGGAGGAGGGGCAGCAGAATTCTATGGTCCGTCAGACAATACCACCTTCAACATGAAAGGGAAACGCTCTGATTCACGCAACCTTTTACTTGAATGGCAGGCTATGCAGACCAAAATGAATCGCAAACATGTTCTCTTACATACAAACGATGAGTTTAAACGAACCGACTGGTCTTTGGTTGACTACGTTTTGGGTAGGTTCTTTGATTCATACGTTTCGCTACATATGTTTTCGTGAGTCAGTAACTAGTAAACAACTTTCAGTCTTTATTTATTTTTCAAAATGAAGCTGCCTGAAGCGTTATCGATTGCACGTTCAGTGGCCGTATGCATAGATCAAAGTTAAAATGGAAATCATTTTGTGCATCCCGTGATAATTTGACTACTGGCCACCAGCTGAAATTTGTCGTTTCCTATAAATAATTTATTGACATTTGTCTGATGCTTTATGTTTAATGGTTTTCATAAATATGTTTTGTGATGGCTTGATTATGTGGACAAGCAGTCAATGACAACTGGATGTTAACACTGTGGATATATGAATTTGACTGGAATTAAATAGTCTGTAACTTGTAAACAACTTTCTGTCTTTATTTATTTTTCAAAATGAAGCTGCCTGAAGCGTTATCGATTGCACGTGCAGTGTGTTGATTGGACTAAAGTGTGTTGAGTTAATGACACTATCATTCATTTTATGGCATTTCATTCAGATATAATATTACACATTGATTTTCAGGTTTGTTTTCTCCGAGTCATTTGGCTTATCAACTGGAAAATCAAGACCAACCAAGTTTAGCAGAAATGACAGAAGCTGCTATCAAAGTACTTTCTCGTAATCCTAAAGGATTTCTTTTGTTAGTGGAAGGAGGTAGGATTGATCATGGGAATCACGAAAATCGAGCACAGTAAGAAACTGTTATTATAATTGCAACTATTTCCACTATTGAAACTAATGACACTGTCATAGTACTTCTGGTATTTGGTGTCGAACTAAACTGATGTCGATTATTCCTTATTGTTGTTTATTAAAGTTTTCGACACATGTAGTTTTGATTTTAAGTGGATTGATGATACGATTAATTTTCCAGATTTTTACTGATTACAGATATGCGTTAACTGAAACTTTGGAGCTCGAAAAAGCCGTAGAGAAAGCATTGTCACTTGTTGATCAACAAGAAACCTTACTGCTAGTCACAGCTGACCATTCTCATTCATATGGGGTGGTCGGTCATCCGACAAGGAACACAAGTGTGCTAGATGTGGATAATACTGCGAAAGTAAGTGCTAATCCTGCTCCGTTTTTAAGCATTTGTGTAAACAAGAATCGGTTTCTTATTGACACACATGAATTTACCAATATCTGAGGTATGTAGTAGTCAACAAATGGACCTAATGGTATAGAGCTCCAACTATCCGAAATCGAATGGGAATAAGTAACATGTAGTAACTCAAAGTTATGATTGATAAAATATTTCAAGTCTCAAAACGATTGACAACTGCATCCACAGTTTCAAAGTTTTCATGCTGACTCCTGAAAGTATGTGTTACTGTCACACAAATACAGATTCGACACAGGAAATTCAATGTAATCTGAGAGGAACATAAAGCGACACACAACCAGTCTCAATTTAGTTAAGATACTGCAGAATAATATCGAAATTGCATGATCCGTTTGAAAGATTTGTCAACAGTAAGATCGAAGTTCAAAGCTCGAGTATAACACCGGAACAATTTTCAGGGTAAAGAACGCTTACAATGATTGAGTGTAAACATAGTTTACGTTTGTTTGAAATGTTTGTGGAGGTTCTTCAGTTGATATATA